AGCGAGAGTGCGAGAAAGAAAGAGAGCGAGAGAGAGAGTGTACGAATGAGAGAGAGAGAGATGGAAAGAAAGAGCGAGAGAGAAAGAGAGGAGAGAGAGAAAGAGAGCGAGAGAGAGTGAAGGAGAGAGAGAGAGAGAGAGAGAGAGAGAGAGAGAGAGAGAGAAGATTGCCTTCCTCTTCGCGAGACCACGCTAGCTCGCTAGGTCACTAGCGTGCACCCTAATAGAGAGAATTAGACAAGCACACGCACCCCGAAGCACTAGCCCGAGGGCCCATCTGCTAGCACTTGCATTCCCTGTCATATCATAGCTTTTTCATAATTATGATAATAAACTCTTTTACAGGACGCGATATGGCCCTTATCGAATCTTTAAAAAAATTTCTGAAGTCTCGCAGAAGCCAGGAAATTACTACTTATCCACTTCCATTCGTCATTCGAGATGTGAAAGCACAGGTAGTTTTTTTTGTTGAATTTCAGCTAATTTCACCCAGGAAAACGAACGTTTTTCGGGGGTTCAAAATCTTGTCACCCGGCACACGACGTTGCTTTTTTCAGATTCCGTCACAAAACCAAACAGTCGAAGCAGTCGATGGGTCGGAATTCCCTTTTTTTGGGTGGCCGCGTACAGTCACCATCTTGGTTTTTGGTGCCCAGGCTGCCCTCACCATCGGTCTATTATTCTTTGAGACGAAGCAGGATCAGGTGGATAAGGTTGCCATCAGAATGCCGAAAAATTGTCATGTCGAAATGCAAATATACCTAAGTTTACTACCAGCTAATTCCTCAATCACCACCAAAACTTCTAAATTCTGTAATTTATCCGTGATTTGTATGCATTTTCGCCAAAAGAGTCGGTGCTACGGATTCCGATTCAATATTTGAAGTTACAGGCCTTAACTAATTACATAACCTTTTCAGGAGCGAAAGGAGGAGCTGCGTTTTCTGCTTGCCTTGGAGCTGGCCATCATCGGTTGTAAGTGGAGTTTATTGGGACACTCTGTATACTGCGTATACAGAGTGTCCCAATAAAAAAACACTCTCCTCTAACTCGGCGCAGAAATATGCCATATGCGCTATTTTAGAAGCGATTTTGTAGAGATTTGCTTTTTTGAGGTTGCATACGAGCTAATTTGCCTTAATTTCTCCATACAAGTTGACCGGAAGTAGGCGTGAATTCGCGGCACCGTTCCTTCATGTTTTTAAAGGCGTTACAAAATAGCGCGGTTAAATAAAAACATGATTTTGAAAATTGTTGCAAACTGACCGTGTCAAGCGCTTTCGATTGGTGTAACTATGATTCCGATCGGATACTTCTCCGTCGAGTCAGAGGGGGGTGTGTTTTTATTGGGGCATGCGGTACAACCGCCTAGGGAGACGTTTTTTGGTGACAATCGAGTTTCTGTACGGGACCAAGCCTATCTTGTGCAGAATTTTGCGCTGATTTCGAACCTAGTCTCAAAATCTGCGAAACGATCTGTTTCAAAAAGTTATGTCGGTTTTAGATGCGAAATAGACCCCAAAAATGGCTCAAATTTGGCAAAAGTTTTCCTTTTCCGCCCTGAGAAGCTCCGTAACTTTTTGAATCTGATTTTTTCGCAGCGTTGAAAACACGTTCGGAATCAGCGCAAACTTCAACACAAGGTGGGCTTGGTCTCGTACGGGAAATCGATTGCCACTAAAAACGTAGCTTTGTTTTTTTTTCTGAAATCTGCAAAATTCGAGTCCTTCCACAAAGCTTTTTCTCTGTCTATACATCAAGAAAAGAATTGAACGTCAAATTAGCTGTTCTAAACAAATGCAACAAAAACTGATATTTAGGTTCAAAAAAAATTATTCCTGGTCCGTTTTTTGTAGTGTTTAATTTCCGAAACAAATATCGCAAATAAGAAACTAGAAGAATCTTTCTCCAATTTGTATTGTGATTTGGGGGCTCTTCGGTTGCCCGTGAAACGAGTGTTCCGGTGTGTATGGCCCAACATTTCTTTTCAAGCATCACAATTTAGTTTTTTGCCTACTCAGCGAGGAAAATTGTCTCTGGTTCATGGATTATCTGGAAAGATACCTCCCTCCGACTCCTTGGAAACCGTTTTCATTCGCCGAAGCCGGAGAGCCTGAAACATGGGTAATCTTTCAACTCTGAGCGCCAACCATGATGCTCGCTTTTTGTAATGTTTACAGGGTGTCACAAAAAAAACCCTGCCTAGCGCTCCGCAATCGTGTTCGATTTTTACGATTTAGATAACTTAATTTAACTAATTTAATTAAAAACTTAATTTATTAAAATTAATTTTTCGCCTTCTCTGCCTCTTTGTCTCTCTCTCTCTCTCTCCTCTCTCTCTTTCTCTAGCTCTTTACCTGCTGGTAACGTGAAAACGTCATTCGATAGAGCGTCGAAAACTGTCCTAGGAAAATTAATTTCAGCCCGAAATAATGTAAATGAAATTTTTTATCGAATAAACAAAAATTGATCAAAATCCATGGGCACCACATAGGATGGCGGGGAAGGATGAAGCCAAATTTTTGAGATTTTCGATATTTTCAAAAAACGCGAATCGATAGGACGTCAAAAAATATTCTAAGAGGTTTTTTAAAACGCGAAAAATGTATTATAAAAGTTTTCCAGCTTAAAAATTATTTTTTGAAAACTATGAGCAGCACAGAGGATAACGGGGGGGACATATTTTCACTATTTTTTTCGATGGAGGGCCCAAAAATATACTAACAATAAGAGCTTTTTTAAAGCCCGAAAAAAGCATATTAAGATACTTTTATTATGAAAATCTTTGAGTGTCCCCCCCGCTACCCTATGTGTACCATACCGTGTGTTCACCCCTCCGGAGAAAGCTTGGATTGGGACGTTTTCTACACCATTCGAGACTACCTTTTTATTTTACCCCTCTCCCCAGCGGAAGTTTTTCGCTATAACTTTTTTATTTTGCATTATTGTAGGCTCAAATTAAAACTTTCAATATATTTTGCGACGCTCTAGCAACTGGCGTCGCAAAAATCCCGACAATAAGCGAAAATACCGAAAACTTTTAAACCCTTCGGGTCGGGGGGCTGGTGGGGTAAAGTTAATGAAAGTCTTACCCAAGTTCGGTAGAAAAACTCAATTTTCAGGAAGAGTTTCTTCGTTCTTTCAAGTGGCTGCGTCGAGTCGCCATCTTGCTTTTTGGTGCCCAGGCTGCCCTCACCATCGGTCTATTATTCTTTGAGACGAAGCAGGATCAGGTGGATAAGGTTGCCATCAGAATTCCGAAAAATCGTCATGTTCAAATGCAAATATACCTAAGTTTACTACCAGCTAATTCCTCAATCTCCACCAAAACCTCAAAATTCTGTAATTTATCCGTGATTAGTATGAATTTTCGCCAAAAGAGTCGGTGCTACGGATTCCGACTCAAAATTTGGATTTACAGGCTTTCACTAATTACATAACCTTTTCAGGGGCGAAAGGAGCAGCTGCGTTTTCTGCTCGCCTTGGAGCTGACCATAATCGGTTGTAAGTACAGCGTTCACCGGTTCCTTGGCAACGGAAGATAGCCCTGTAGACTCGGATGTATACACGGACGTACAGACTGTAGTCCGGGCCAAGGCTATATATCTCCTTTTATATAGTATTTTAGACAGTTTATTTATGTCAAAATCATAGAACATTTAGCAAAATTTTTGAGGGTGGCTTTTTGGTCAAAGAATGTCTGAAACCTGCCAAAAAAACTTTTCGAAATTTTCTTTTCACATAGAAGCTTCTAGCCTTAAAGAGATGAGGACGGCATCTGTTGAACCCCCCTTGGGGAGGGGGGTTCAACAGGTCCCGCGGCGATCTCGCGCGAGAGAGGGCTCCCAGAGGAGAGGCGCAGAGCCATTTTCTTTCCCTCGCGTAATCGATTGACTTATGCCGCCCCTATCTCTTTAAGAAACTACTGACAAACATTATGAAAATGCACTGCGGGCTTTTCCGTTGCCAGTAAAACCACGAGCCTTTCGATGTTCACAGGGGATCCCAAAAAGTCAACCATCTGAAAAGTTTGCGATTTTTACGATTTATTTGCATATCGAAAGCTCTCGGAAAGGCGAAAAACAAAAATTTTTTGTTTTTCAATTTAGGTACTTTAATGCACAATCTTTAGAATCAAAATCCCTTAAAAATTTTATGCAAAACCGTGATGTATATTGATTGCTAAAGCCAACAGGACCACGCTGTTTTTAGGCTGTTCTAAGAAATCGGCTAATATCAACCGCCGATTGTGTTACAGCCATCCCATCACTCAACTCCTCACTGCTTCGGCCACACCCTCGACGAACATATGGTCTCTCTCTCCCTCTCTCTCTCTCTCTCTCTCTCTCTCTCTCTCTCTCTCTCTCTCTCTCTCTCTGCCATTCGTGGCCCGCCAAGGATTTCCGTTTTATGTGTGGCCCCTGACCGGACACGACCAGCCGGCGCCGTGGGTCCGTGACTTTTTGTCTGGGTCGCCTCGGATTTATGGGGGTTGGCCCTGCAATTTTAGTGACTTTTCGGTTTCTTTTTCCTTTTTAAATTACACGACTTCGATTTTAATTTAAAGCGCCTAGGCTCACGAAAATTAAATTTTCTGGAAATATCCGCTTAAAAAAAGCATGCCATCGCACAAATTGACCTGTCTACCTGGAGATCAAGCACAAATCTTGTTTTTCCAGAACTATTTAATTCGACATCTTTTTCAGCTGAAATTCAAGCGCATTGTGTATTTTAGAGACTTTATCTAATGGCATCAAAAATTCCTGAAAAAATAGCGGAAATGTCGAAATTTCGTGGTGGTAAAAGCGGAGGGCAAATGTGTAATTTGGTGCATCGCATAGCTGTCTAGACCTAGGCAATGGAGGGGGTCGATTCCGCGCGCCTGTTGGTTTTTTAGATTCTATTATTTTTGTGTAGAAAAACTAGGAAGATCTTTTTTAAACCATTTCAGGTCCCGCCGCTCGATGTAGCCGATTCTTCCTAAAAAACTCAATTTTATTATGCTCCCCCTGCTACTGCCGCTTTCATTTTTGACTACGGGTTTATTTTCTACTTCTCCTTCATCCACTTCTGATGCTATTCCCTACAAATTCACCATAAGTGACGAAGCTACAAACTATATTCCCTATGATTTTGCCGGTTTTGCATCGGATTCTGATAGCAATCGTGAAAAGCGCGAGATTCCGGACAGTTCGGACATTGTATTCCGCCGGAAAATTCGAGCAGCGACGGCGAAAAAAGAGCGACAATGGCCCGATGGGGTTGTTCCTTACATAATTTCATCCAATTTCTCGGGTATGTGATTTTAAAGGGACCAGGACAAGCAAGTATTCCTGCCGTAACCGGTTGTTAGACATTTTTTACGTCTTTCCGATTAATCATACACATAAATTCTAGGCGAGCACAAGAACCTGTTCCTGAAGTCGATGCGGCACTGGGAGAACCATACGTGTATCAGTTTCGTGCCGCGGACTCGAGCCCACAAGAACTACATCGTGTTCACCGTCGACAAATGTGGGTAGGTGGGTCCGCCGTTTTGGAACTATGATTGTAAATCCCACCGTAGGAATTTAGGCGCTTAGACGGTACTGTTCTATTTCGCGTGGGGGAAAAACTGTGCGGGGGGATGTTCTTCGTTTTGTTATAACTCTTTTATATGATGCTATTTTGAGTTGTAATTAAATCTCTTAGTATATTTTTGACGCTCTATCGAATGGCAACGAAGGAATTTTTGAAAGATATCGAAAATGTCGAAAACTAGCTTCGACTCCACGATCCCATGTGGAAACACCGTATAAACCTTGTTTTTGCTATAACTATTTTATAAGACAATATTTTTACATGAAATTAAAACTCTTAGTATATTTTTCAATGCTCTATCGAATGACGGGTTCAAAATATCGAAAAACCGGCGAAAATGCCAAAAACTAACATTCCGGCACCAGTTTCAATAGTTTTTCTTGTTTTTGCTATAACTTTTCTATATTACAATGTTTTTTGCTAAGACAAAAACTCTTAGTATATTTTTTAATGCTGTATCGAATAGCGTTGCAAGAATCCCGAGAAAATAGCGAAAAAATGGAAGGTTCCGCGAAGCATATCCCTCCCCCCCGCGAAATAGAACAGAACCGCTTAGACGTGTTGAAATTATGTAATCAGTTTTCCCCAAAATTCCTAAAAATCGGTTTTGAGGTGCTGCTCATACGTGGGTCGACGGGGCGAGGGACCACAGTCAATTTCGATTGGGAAGAACTGCGACAAGTTTGGCATAGGTGAGCAGAATGGCTACAAAGTTTACAGCTGCCGATACTTCAGTGGTCCACGAGCTTGGGCATGTCGTCGGATTCTGGCACGAGCATACGCGCCCTGATCGGGATTTGTATGTCGATATTTTCTACAAAAGCATTGAATTCGGTGAGCGTTAAGAGGTGTAGTTTGTAGTTGCATCCGTCTATCTAGAGTAACCCTGAAAAACCAAAACTCGAACTTTTTTATGTGAATTGCACCTTAAGTATTACTGCAGAAAAGAGTCATACAAAAATAATGAAAAATTAGGCCAAATTTCAGGTCAAGACTACAATTTCGAGAAGTCGAAGCCGGGGGAAGTCGACTCGCTGGGGGAGCCGTACGATTTCGCTTCCAGTTGGTTTGAACTGAATTAATAGCTCAACTATTTGAATTATTTATAGGATATAAAACTGAAAATAAAAAAAAAACGAGAAAATTTCACAAAATACTTTTTAAGTCATGCACTACGCGAGAGACACTTTTTCCCGCGGAATCTTCCACGATACAATCCTGCCACGGCCGAGTGAGTTAAAACTGTTTTTGGCAAAGCTACAGACAACATTCCCTCAGGCTTCCGCCACGAAATCGGGCAGCGCATCGAGCTCTCTGAAGGGGATATTAGACAAACGAAGAAGCTGTATAATTGCCCCGGTACGGTATTCAAGCTTAAAATTTCTAGAATGTTATATTTTAGGGCAATTATATTTCAATTTAATGGCTTTTATGTATTATATTTACTTCTATCAATTTTTTATGTTATTTGTAGTTTGTGGCCAGACGTTTCTCTCGGAAACCGCAGAGCTGACGCCGACGCACGAGGGGTACTGTGCTTGGCGAATTATTGCCCCTGAGGGAAATACGATATTTTTGAATGTGTCCGGCCAGGATTTACAGGTATGGGAAACAAAACACGATCTAAATTGCCAAACGGAATCATGGCTTGCTTAAAACAATATATAACAATCTAATTACGCTTAAAGTACTAACAACCGTGAGAGAAAGCGATCCGCTTAAGGATTTATTTTGACAGTTATAGATTAGCTTAGTCTGCACATATAATTGCTTAACGTATCATATAACTGCTAAAACCCGACATAAAAGATAAAGGCAACTTCTAAAAAACCCGCAAAAAGTTGTGCTAGGAGTAAAGAGCTTTGGTTTTTCGAACATGGTCGTTTCTGAGACTCTAGTATTTTCTTCATTGCACCGGGCGGGGGTCGAACCCGCGAGCCCCGGATCGTGGGGGCCAGCCCACTACCGCCAGGCCACGCCCATCGAGCGGAAAGGGGTGCGAGGGAGGGGCTATCAGCCCGGTCCTCTCTTGCTCGGCCCCCATAACCTAGCAACTGTAAAATCTATTTAAATTGATCTGAAAAGAGATAAAAGATTTTTTAATACATTATCCGTATCAGAAAAAAATTCTGCACAAGATGGCTGGTTCTCAGGACAAAATAAGCTATATAAAAATGTGAAAATTTAAATTGAAGCAATTCTGCTTTCTAAGCGTTATAGACCTTGAAATTTGTAATTTATTTTGTAGTTTGTAGCAAAAAAACCGATTACGATAGCTAAATCTATTAGCAAAAAATTTCAGCTACCCCTTGGGCCGTGCAACGAGGAAATCGACAACTCGATCGTCGTCCATGACGGGAATGGCAAGAATTCGAAGATGATAGGTAATATAAAAGTTTAATAAATTTAATATAAATTACAATCCTTTAGAAAAGCTCTGCGGCGACGATATCACCTTTAAAACGGTGGTCTCCAGCGGAAATCGGTTGTTTTTGGAGTTTAGGGTGGGTTTTTGCGGCAAAAATTACGTAATTTCCGTTTTTTTTTGGCAGAATCCATAGATTTAAATGTTTATCAACCGATAATACGAATTAAATGCAGGTTTAATCTATCTATATGTTTTTAGACATCACTACTGCCAAATTTCCCATTCGCCGTCTTTCACACGGTCTGCGGCGGGCCGATCTACGAGGATAGCGGCGTTTTGCAGTCTCCTAGGTAATTTTGAGGGTATATTGGTGCAAGTAAAATTTGTGCTTTCGGAATCACATTATAGTTAAAGCATATTCACAGTAGTAAAACCAAAATAAATACATTTTTCAGGTACCCGGATCCGTATACGCCGGGCTCGGATTGCCTGTGGCGAATCCACGTGGAAGCCGGGCATCAGGTCGCGCTGAAAATCAACTTTTTTCAGGTATATAAATTTTGCCATTAAACATATTTAAACTTGAATTGTGTTAATTTTTTTGCAATGAACTTAAAAATTAAATGAAATTTTTAATCTTTGAAAATCGATCACACGTTTACAGGTCGAGCAGCATAAAGACTGCATCTACGACCGGCTGGTGATTTGGGAGGGAGCTAAAGAAGGTGTTGGTAAGTCAAAAATTCCCATAGGTAAATCGGTAATTAATTATAGCTAATGAAATTCGATTCATACAGCCATTGCTTGATTTGCTCTAATTTTTTAGCGTTAAAAACGCATTTTTAGGTGAGCCTTTGGCAAACCTTTGTGGTCAACTCGCCGACAAATCAATAATCTCCAGGAGCAGTAATGTGGTGACGATACGGTAGGTGGTACGCTTTTCCAGAAATCCTAATTTATCAAAAAAGCCCAGGTTTTTTTTAATAAATTTAGATAAATTTATAAAACTTTTTTAAAAATTATGGTAGTTGGAAGCTGCTCGGAGCTTCCAAGTTTCTTGAATACCGTCAAATTACTCTTTACAGTATACAACATGCGGAATACCGGAATATCTACCGTACCCTTTTCAGATTCACGTCCGACAACTCGGTGCAGAAGGGCGGTTTCGAGCTGGAGTGGCAGAAGGAGCTGGATGAGTGCCACTCCGGCACCCATCCCTGTGAACATATTTGCGAGAATACTGTCGGAGGGTTTAGGTGGGAAATAACGTTTTCAACTGTCCAAAAGGGCCAAAAAAACGGGGTATCGACCCCTTCTAGCGACTAGGTCTCGACAGCGACGCGACGCTTGAATTGCCGCAAAAAAATATCATTTATGCCCCTAAAATTTGAGGTCTGGAGAAAATTTTCTGAGCTTGCAGTCGTCATTTGGTGCAATGCGTAGCTGTCGGGGCCTAGTCGAGGTGCGGGTCGATTTCTGGTAGATTAGGCCCTTTAATGCTCCTTCAAGCTTGAAAGTGAATTTTTCGAGCGTTTAGCCTTTTTGGAGAGATCTAGCGGCTTTCTGCTGTTGAGCTCCATCTAAGTAAAATATTTTTAAGAGATACCATAACCGGTTAAACGCTAGGAAATCCCAGAAAATACCAAAGTTTTTAATTTTCAGGTGTAAATGCGAGATCGGGTTCAGCCTGCGGGAGGATGGGAGGACTTGTGAAAGTAAGCGACAGGGATAGGAGAGAGAGAGAGAGAGAGAGAGAGAGACAGAGCGAGATATTCCAATATTTTCTAGGTACTTGCGGCGGTTTCCTCCACGCTTCCAACGGCTCAATCCAAAGCCCAAATTTCCCCCAGCACTACCCACCCGCCAAACATTGCGTCTGGGAAATCGAGGCCCCGGATGGATATCAGGTAAAAATGACATCCTGGTGTCATCATTCCTTTAATCGCCTCCAGATTTTTATCAACTTTACCCGTTTCAACGTGGAGGGTATGAAAACGGAGTGCGCGTACGACTTTGTGCGGATTGGGGCGCGGAGCAAGCTGTGCGGCGAATATGGTAATTATGAATTAAAAAATCGTATCCCTTTTTATAGCATTTACACAATTTTTTTTTGATAAAAACGCGCATTAAAAAATTAGAAAAAGTTTGGAAACATATGGCTTTTTGGGCAAAAATCCAGGATAAATGAACAAACAGTTAAAATTTTCAGAATTTCAGCAATTTTTAAATATTTTGTTATGGTTTTCTGACAACCAAAAGCGGATGAAACACTATAAAGATACAGATATACGATTAATAGGCGGAATAACAAAAATCACTTTGTGCTCCAATAGATATCCCCCCGCTAAGAGTCCAGTACCGGAAAGTTATCTTTGCAGCCGAACCGCTCCTCTTTACCTCCGAGACTAACCTCGTGCGGCTGGAGTTCGTTTCGGACGGCAGCGTCGAGCGTCCCGGCTTTTCGATGAATTTCTTCGCCGACCTGGACGAGTGCCAGCACCAGAATGCCGGATGTGAACATGTATGCGAGAATAGAATAGGTAGGTTTTTGGCATAAAAGTATCCCTGTAAGAGCTACGAAATAAAATAAAACCGCTGGTGTACACTATAATTTCAGGCACCTATAAGTGCAGCTGTAACCCCGGCTTTGTCCTGTCCGACGACGGGCACAACTGCAAGGAAGGCGGCTGCTTCTTTGAGCTCAACGACCCTTCAGGTAGTGTCATCGATGTCCTAACCGTTCCGCGCGAATTTTAGGCGAAATCACCTCGCCTAACCATCCCAACGAGTATCCAAAGGGAGAGAATTGTACCTGGCATGTGCTGACGACTCCTGGGCATCGAATTTCGCTGGTGGGTCTGGGCAAACTTATCGCGTAGCGCGCAGCTGTCTAGACCTAGTAAACCCAAGTAGTCGATTCGGGCGCTTTTTAATCCCTCCATAAGTATTCGTTTCGTTTTCAGGACTTCGAGACGTTCGAGCTGGAGGAACACTCGTTGTGCACTTACGATAAACTTGAGGTTTTTGATGGAGGTCAGTTTCTCTCTCTCTCTCTCTCTCTCTCTCTCTCTCGCTCTCTATTTCTCGCTCTCTATCTCGCACTCTTTCCATCACTCTCGCTCTCTCTCTCTATCTCTCCCGCGTTCTCTCATTCTCTCTCCCTATCTCTCTCTCTCGTCCCCTTGCTCTCTAACCCTCTCTCGCTCTCTCTATTCCTTGATCTCTAGCCTCCTCCTCATCCTCTCTACTCGGTCTCTTCTGTGGCGGAAGTGTGCCCCCTACTACCGTATCCTCCTCCAACCAGCTGTTCGTCAGCTTTGTGGCCGATGCCTCGGTCAGCCGGAGAGGGTTCCACGCTACTTATCAATCAGGTGGGAGCGTTTCGAATCACTCTTTGAAAGCAGATGACGACATTGACAGGAATTCTCCAAGAAAACATCGCTGGCGCATTTTAAATTTTATTTTATTAATTTACACAAAACCTTTTGAGAGTGTGGTGGTCAGCTGTCCGCCGAACGCTCGTCCGGTTATATTTATTCGCACGCTTCATACAGGTATAAACGCTCTCTCTCGCCCTCTATCTCTCTCGCTCCCTCTCTTTCTCTCTCTGTTTCTCTCTCACTCTCTCTGTCTCTCTCTCTCTCTCTGGTTCTCTCTAATCACGGTTTCCAGTGACAACAACTACCCCTCAAATTCCGACTGCCACTGGAAAATCTCGGCCAATAATGGAAAGGGCGTCAAATTGAAGGTAAGTTGTAACGGTCGCAGCAATTTTGTGCATGTTGAAGTTTTCATACTTTCGGCATTATGACATCTCGATAGTGGAATTTCGATATCGTGAAAGTTCGGTATTCTGCATTTCCGGCATTTTAAAATATCGACATGATCAGTCTTTAGTTCCACGCATTCCACATCGAATCCGACGCCGCTTGCCAGTACGACTACGTCGAGGTCTACGACGGCCCCGTTCCCAAGGAGCAGAAGTTATTCGGCCGTTTTTGCGGGGATACGGTAGGTGGAACCTGTTGTCGTAATACCGACAGTCGAAATCCCGACAGTCGAAACCCCGACAGTCGAAATCCCGAAATCCACAATCTCGACAGCCAAGATCCCGACAGCCAAAATCCCTGAGGCGAAATACAGACAGGCCAAAATGCCGACAGCTAAAATGCCGACATATGCTTCACGCTGGAATGAATTCATTTTCCTTCATAAGGCTATTTTCCGTGTCCGGATTTTTGCTGTCGTGATTTTGACTGTCGGGATTATGGCCCATCGGGATTTTAGCTGTCGGTATTTTTGCGTTTTTCGGTAGTTGCCTCAACTTCAGAACCCAAACTTTAGATGCCCGACGAGATTGTGAGCACGGGAAGCGAAATGTTGCTGGTGTTGCATACTGATGACAGCGTCGAGGAAAAGGTGAACTTATATTTACTTCATATTTTAGCGCCCTGGTATTCGACCAAGTTTAAATTTTGGCCATAGATAGGGAAAAGCAAAAACTACTTTCACAAAAAAAATTCGGTTCAGAATTCCATAACATAAAATAGTTATGGCGAAAAATGCACCAAAATTTGATTTTTTTGCGCTTTTCTTGTGGTAATTTTGCTGTTTCGCAGTATTTTCCGCTGAAATTTTTACTTTAAATAGTTTTTAGCTATCCAAAACGACAATAAAAATTTGAGTCGAAAGAAAACGGCAAAGTTGCACAATTTAAAAGATTTGCAAGTACCGCCAGAGTGCCAAAAACATCTGAAAACACTGTAAAACGGCTATAGACTAATCCAAAGAACAATTCTCTATTTTGCAAGCAAGTTTCTGGCAAAAACCCTTGTTATTTTGCCGGTGTTTCATGGCATATTTTGACGGCGCGGCGCGGCTTTTTGGACTCGCAAAGTGCGCAGGGTGGGGAGAGAGCACGGGAATCGAGGAGATGCAGAGAAACAGGGTCACGTTTTAGGGGTTCGTGGCCGAGTACGCGGAGGGGGCACGAGGAAGGGCCGAGCCGAGCGGATGGCCCCGGCCCACCCATATTACCACCGATATTTTGAACAATAATAAACATTTGAATTGACTATTGATTTTTTACTTATTGCGCCGACTCCGTTCTGCAAGAAAATTCGCAAAACTGCGTTTAGCACTACGAATTTTGGATCAAAGTTCAGCAAGAAAATTATGGAAATCACTAGCTTTTTAATTATCGTGATACTTTTATTATAATTACGTCATAAAATTACGAATTATGGTGGAGAAGACACATTCTTATTCAAGCTTTTTCCGCTAATCTGCTGAACTTAGCTTCTGCAGTTTTCTCAATTTCCAATTTTACGAAACGGTTTTTCAATTTTGTCACCATCTTCTCTTGTTTTATTTGATCGTTCCCCTCCCCCCCCCCCTGAGTTTCGAAAGCAATTCTGAAGTTTTTCTGAGGGTAAACGATTTTCGATGAGTTTTATTAGTTCAGAGATTTTTAACTCGGATCTACCTGGATCTCTCTCTGCCTCGCTGTCTCCATCTCTCTCTCTCTCTCTCTCTCTCTCTCTCTCTCTCTCTCTCTCTCTCTCTCTCTCTCTCTATCTCCATCTCTCTCGCTCTCTCCATCTCGCTCTCTCTCTCCATCTCTCGCTCGTTCGCTCGCTCTCTCTCTCTCACTTACTCGCTCTCTCTTGCCCTCTCTCTCCTCGTATTTTGAATTGCGCTCTAGGAGATGACTTTTAAGTATGTTGTAAATTTGGGTTGATAATTTTTGCATAAATGTCCAGCTGATTTTTGTTTCTCTGAACCAGGCTTTGGGCTGTAAGGTCGGTTTCCAAGTGTTAAAAAGCTTATGCAATTTTTGCAGCCATGGGCTCCGAGTGGATGGCCGGGCTGCCCGAGCCGCTGACGCGAATACCCATTTTTCAGTTGGCCATTCCAGGTTTGGAACGTTTTAACTAGTTGTGCATATACAAAAGTTTCAAAAAAAGTCCGGTATCCCGTAAATTCGTTAGGCGGAATAACCTTTTTTCTCTCAGGTTCCCATGATTCCGGTGCTTCCTCGGCCCTCTCCAGCAAGTACCCAATCGCCAACGACGAGGCGAGCAATCGATTTTTGAACTGTTTCGGCCGATTGACAGGTTGGAAATTGACAGAGGAAACCTAAAAGCTGCCCTTTCTACAGTATCCCGCCGCGTCGTCCGCCGCTGGGCCATCACCCAGCACGCCTCCGCGAAAGAACAGTGCCAGATGGGCGTACGGTATTTTGATTTGAGGTGCGTTGTCGGAAAGTTCGACGCCTTTGCGTACGTTCAAGTAGAAATCCCGAAAAAATCCTGACGGCCAAAAAACCGACAGCGACGGCTATTTTCCTGTCGGTATTTACCTGTCGGAATTTTGACCGTAGGTATTTTTGCTGTCGGGAAAAGTAAAAGGGCAAGCTGAGAAATTCTTTCGGGAAGGAAACGCTAGCAGAGATCCCTTGAGAAATGGCAGCTAGCAGAGATTTTTAAGGGAAGGCAGGCTAGCAGAGATTTTTTTGGGGAGGGAACGGATAGTAGAGATCACTTAGGGAATGGCAGGCTAGCAGAGATTTTTTGGGAAAATCAGGCTGTGTAGACTATTTGGGAAACGGCAAGCGAGCAGAGATTAATTGAGAAATTTCAGGCTAGCAAAGCTTATTTTGGAAAGACGATTTTTTAATTGTTTTAAGTTTTTGTTCAGGGTCTCCAACCCGCCAAAACGCGGCCCAGACGGCTACCACTTGGTCCATGCCCTCTACGGCCCCGATTTTTTCGAATTTTTGAGGGAAATTCGAGGTTCTTCCACTTTCTTTGCACTTCAAAAAAACCAAAAACTCAGATTTCCTTGACGAGCACCGGAAAGAGGTGGTGATCCTCGACATGAACCACCTCTTCCAAATCCAGCCGCGCGACCACGACGAGCTGGAGGAGCAGATTGTTCGACTCTTTGGCGAGGACCGGTTTTGCAGGTATGATTTCGAACTGTTAGTTTTATAAAAATATGTAAAAAATGAAATTTTGCAAATTTTAATCCTTTTCGGTCCATTTTTTTAATTTTCAAATTTTTCTACGCACTTTTCATCTCTAAAAACCGATGAAAATTCTTTAAAAAGAGTGATGTTTAATGATAAAAATTACTGTAAAAAAAATTGGTCTCCCCACTGCTAAAAATCCCCCCCTCCGCTAACAGTCCAGTGCCAAAGAAGTCCGCTTGCTTCCAAAAATGCAGTAATTTTTATAACCGAAAAAATTTACCGCTTCTTAGGGAACTCCCGCACGATCAGGTGACCCTGGCGAACTTGTGGGCCGCCGGGAAGCAGATCATTTGCATCACGGCGCTTAAGGTTGGTTTAATTAGTATTTTATCTTAACGAAAATCGGAAGAATTCATCTGTCGAAAATTATTCAGGACTACCCTCAGGATGGCCGATTCTGGCGCGGGAAGCCGACGATCTGCGCCCCGTACCCGGAGACGAACAACCTCGGCGAGTTGGTCGAGTTTTTGGAGGTGATGCAGACCAAGGTGCGGATTTTCTTTGAATTTTTTTCTGCTTTTGTTCTTGTTAACTTCAAATTTGCAGTGCCGCCCCACCACGCTTTTTCAATTCTACGTCACCCAGGGAATTTTGACGGCGACGGGGAGGGATATTGGTAAGCTTGCCGGGCCCTTTAAAAGGTCCAGAAGTGCGAGAATCGACCCCTTCTCACAACTGTAAAACACCCTTAACAGGGTTCTTTAATAAGCATAAAAACAGATCAGAACGTGTTTTATAGTGCCGCGTAGCTGTCTAGACCTAGTCGAACGACGGGGTGGATAACCAGGCTTATTGATCCCTTTAAAAGCATTAGGAAACGCGAGAATCGACCTCTTGCCGCAGCTAGGTGTCGACAACTACCCTACCCAAGACACTGCCAAAACAGGCTATCATACCCAAGTTGAACTCGTTGAACTTTTTGCGTCTCGTGGTTGTCTAGGCCAAGTATATGCGAGGACGTCATTCTCGTGTTTCCCAGTCCCTTTAAAAGATGAAAACGAATGAGACTCTACCCCTTTCTACGGCTAGATCTTGACACCTATGCGACACTTTGAAAAGCGTAACTGAAAGCTAGAAAACATTACTGAACGTGTGAGGTGAAGCGCCGCGTAGCTGTCGAGACCTAGTCAGCGGAAGGCGTCGATACTCCCACTTTATGGCTCCCTTTAAAATCACAACAATTTCCAGTCCGAAACCCCTTCTCCTCGCTCGAGAAACATCTGGCCACCAGGGCCACCGCGGCAATTCGGAATTGGTTGACCTCGGTGGGCAATTTGCATCCTATCTTTCAACCTTTCTACAGTACCCCCACCCCGAGCTCATCAACATTGTCATCGTCGATTTCGTCGACGCGGAATATTGCCGGGAGGTCGTCGAGCTGAACACGAAGAAATTAAAATGCCTGAAATAGACTTCTTAAGCTGTACTTTGTATTTGTATGTATATTTTGTGCAATTTTTCTGAGTGTTTCTCACACTCCCTTAAAAGTTACTTGTATGTATTGTATATTCGGAGTTTTTGTGATTTAACGCTGAGTTTTTTTGGTCAATCAACTGCATCCTTAATTTTTTTACGGGTATTCTCGATTTTTTTTACTTAAATTCCGGATGCCACCAACACTTAAGAATTTCTATTCACGCATGAAAATTGTGATAAAAAAATCAGGGTACAAGATTTTTGTGAATCTTTTTGAATAAATGGCTTGGATAGACTGTATTATTGACTGTTTCTGGCTGTCGGTTTTTTGATTTTTGGGATTTTGGCGTGTCGGTATTTTGACTGTCGGCATTTTGATTTTTGGGATTTTGGCGTGTCGGTATTTTGATTTTCGAGATTTTGACTGTCGGTATTTCGACAGTCGGGATTTGGCATTTCGGTATTTTTGCCAGTCGGGATTTCCGCCGTCGGGAGCATTCGACAATCAACAAATAATCCCCCCCCCCCCCCTTTCTCCTCCCCCTCTCCCCCCCTCCCTTGCCTTTTATTACTTTATTTTTTTTTTTTTTTTTTTTTTTTTTTTTTTTTGTTTTTTTTTTTTTTTTCACAGGGGGTACCCGTTTTTTTTTTGAAATGGAAGTTTTTGTTTTTTTGGACTGGGGGGTTGTTTTTTTTGGTTGATTTTGGGGGGCCGGGTTTAGGTTTTGGGTTTTGTTCTTGTTTTTGTTTTTATTTCACGGGGGATAGCCATCGGGAAGGTATTGTTTTTGTGGGGGTTGGCTGAGGTCTACCATCTTGTTTTAATGGGGGTTAATGTGTGGGTGGGGGGGTGGCCCGCCCCGCTATAGATAGTTTATGTCATTCCAACACTCTTGACATTATGCTAAACGTTAAGCCGGGAACTTTTTGCAGACGAAGCCCGTCACGGTGGGCGTCTGGTAGTTGACCACGCGCCAAAACGCGAAGTCAGCACATCCACTTTGCGTCGATATCTGAAAAATGACTTGGCTTTGGGTTAGCTTAGGCTTGGCTCAGGCTTGGCTTATGACTAGGTTAGGCTTAGCTTTCGCTAAAACCTACGTAAAAGTTGCCGATGTTTCCGTCTTGGTGTCCCCACATATTCGCATAGTTGAAGGGGGTACCATCCGACCAGTAGTTGTAGCCGTTGGCACCAATACCTAAAATCTGTTATTAACGGGGTCAGGAAGCGGAAAATCAACCCGCTCAATTGGCTAGGTCTAGACAGCTACGCAATGCTCCAAAATACGCATGTAAACGCTTGCGAGCGCAGCGCTTCAAGTTCGAGATAAATGTTGAGAATGTTCGTCGAGGCCTAGTCCAGGGAATGGGTCGGTTTCCGCACTTCCCAGTACCTTTAAACTGTCCGTGGATTGAGCTTACCTCCAATCCACACCGAGTAGTAATAGGGTAGGGGCTGCCAGCAGGCGGTCGTGTAGTGAAAAGCGAGACCTAAATGGATTTGATATATAACGAGAGCGAGAGAGTGAGAGAGAGAGCAAGATATATATAGAGAGAGAGAGAGCAACGACAGATAGACATACCCAAAACGAATCCATTCTCCTCGGCGCTGTGGATCGACGCCAGGTCAGAGCCCATCTGCTGGCAGGTGCTTCGGGCGGCGATTACTGTAGCGTTGTAGCCGATCTAAAGAATGCTTTTCATATCGTAAGCCCTATAAAACTCACCCAATAGCACGCGCCAGTCGTGGCATAGTAGCTCCAGCCGGGCGGGCATTGATAGGTGATTGGACCTCCTGGAAACATCGCGATTAAAGTATGTAAGTCCGGGCAAATTATCTAGCATAAAAATAGTTACATTATACAATTTTAGCTCGTAGATTAGGTAAATTGTTGTGTTTTGTAGTATTAGCTGACAACCAGATGTTTCGTTCAATAATAATAAAAATAGATTTTATATTACATATTTCATTCTTTTTATATTTTAGATTGTTCACCCATTATGGGGGTGTGCGCCGATCCCGACGGCATGTGCAATGCCGGGACGACGCTGTTTGGCGAGAAGCAAGCTTCTGCTAACCGAACCATTTCCAAAAATATGTTAATCTCGTTGTACACAATAGTGTACGTATCGGAGATTAAGCCGATAAGAACATATTAACGGTTATTAGCAAATTCTCGGCCCGAGGGCCGGATAATGCGGCAGTAAAACAATCTCGAAAGAATACACGAAATGACACGCAGGTCATTTAAATTAGGGGCTTTACAACATTTTCAGGGAGAAATTGTGGGAATCTATTGATCACAAATGGATGGGAGATTCGGGAGGGGGCACGAAAAATTTACATTTTAAAAGATAACTAGCAAATGGATATCGCTTCATTTATGCTTGGTATTGGCGGTGGGCGGTGATGTGCTCGACGTAGGCATCTCTTAACCACTTCAGCGCATCGGCGACCATCAACTTCTTCATCAGCGCGGCGTACTTGACGGAGACGGCGAGTCGGCGCAGCACGTTGTCGTTCTCTTGGTCCCATCCGCCGAGTGGCCCGACGATGAAGGCGTCCAGGAACGTGTCGTAGCCATCCGCGTTGAACTTGTTGAAGATGTCGACGTACTTGCGGAGCTTCTCGGCACGTGCGGCAGCGAAGACGCTCAGGTCGTGGTTCTCGAACGGCATGGTCACGTCCACGATCGTCACACGCTTCTTCACATGGTCGACGAGGGCGAGATCGGGACGTAGTTGACCATCAGTGCCGGGGATCTTGACATTGACATATTTCGTGGTGGTCGCGGGCAGCTTGATGGCGTTGACGAGGCGGTCGAGGACGGCGTTGTGGCGCAGGGTGATGGCGTGGGCGTGAGCAGGGCAATGACACAGGACGTGGGCGACACTCTCGAGTTGGTAGCCACATCTTCGGCAACGCTTGTCTTTTTGATCACGGGCACGGTTGCAGCCATTTAGTGGAACGACGTCGAGTCTTGCACGGTGAACGAAGCGCCAGTCCGCAAAGCGGATATAGCGTCCGTCACGCAGGAAGTAGTTGGAGACGGGCTGGTGGGCGGTGATGTTGTAGACCTTGCCCTGGCTCTTCTTGGCGGTGAGGTGAACGAGCTGAGCTTGATGGACGACGCGCTTGAGCATCCTTTCACACGTCTTCTTGGTGACGCCACATCCGAGCACGAGCAGTTGGATCTTGTCGTTGCTCCACGCCCACTTCACATCGAGCTTGTCGGTCTTGACGAGGTGGCCGGTCGCTTGTCGCACTCTTGTCCACATGTTGCGGGTGTCGGCGTAGTATGTCTCGAAGGCGCCGTCAAGCTTCTGGTTCAGGTAGTCGGCCACTTCGGAGTCGGTTGGAGCACGCTTGATCTTCTTCTGTACAGCCGTACGGAGCAGCTGAGCAGTCATTGGGCCGAGATCAGTCGACTCCAACAACTGGACAGCATGCACCAGCTGCATCACATCGGCGAGGGTCTTGGTCTGGATGAGGCCGAGGCCTCCCATGTTGTGCGGCAGGTAGACGACTTCGGGGCTAGCTTGACTCGGGAGGCTCATCCACGACTTGGCGAACTTCTTCAACTTCTTGTCGAACGGGATGAGGTGCTTCTTCTTCTCGACGTGACCATTCTTCAGATGGAAGGCGATGCAAGGCAAATCGCAGACGAGTCGACGGGCGGCACGTACACGTCGCCATCCGGAATCCGCAGGCTGTCGTCGTCCTCGTCGTCGTCGTCTTGGGCCATCTTGATTGGCGTGTGGGTGGACGAGAAGCTTATCGAGTGGTCCAACTAGCCCGGTAGTCTTTCTCAAATGAACACCAAAGGCGATAAACCAATGAATATCCAAGTGAGGTCTTCCCGTACAGATCAAGTGTATAGTGTACGTATCGGAGATTAAGCCGATAAGAACAGTAACTAACAATTGATCTAAGCCAGGGGCCAGAAGCGATGTTGAGGAGGGGAGGGGTGTGTATTTCCGGTGGGGAGGTGGGCCAGGTGGTGGGCGAGTGGGGACACAAAAGGGGACAGCAGGTGAGCGCACAACTAGGGGGTAGGAGGGGTGGTCCGACCCCGGGATCTGCTAAAACGTAGAGTGACGGGGTATAGAGTGACCCAATAATGTGATTTGAATCTAATTGCCATAGATATAAGCTACAGTATTCAATTACCAACTAAAAACCCACTAATATGATTAGCTAGTATAATTAAACTAGATGAATGCTCGAAATTTCATACTGGATGTCGCAACCGGAGGAACGGTAGGTACGGTAGGAATATCCACAATATAGCAAACAGCCGTGTCGATATCATCACATCTGACAGAATACCAGTAGCCGTCGGGGCCGACCGTCGTACAGTTGTCGGACGTAGGGTTGTCTGAAAAAAGCGACTAGAGAAAAAGATAGATAGAGAGAGAGAGACAGAGAAGAGTGAGAGAGAGAACGAGTGAGAGAGAGAGAGATAGGGGGGAGAGAGGATGAGCGTCCGAAAGCGAGAGAGATGTATTTTTTACGCTTACTCAGTGCCCAATTAACATAATTTTTGGTAGTTCCGTCAGTGTATGTCCACTGTCCATTTGGCTGCAGTTGCAACCCAATAAAAGCAGCCGGATATCCCTGTTGTTTCACGAAAGAAGTAACGGCTTGATTGTCGAATGCACTGTGAATTGAAGCCAAGTGCCCTCCAAAAGATTGACAGTACTTCTCGGCGCCGGAGAAGGTATCTAAAAACGACCTTAGAATTTACGGATTGATATCCAGCGCTACTTTCCGTTTCTGCTGTCACCCAGTTGAGATTCGATGAGAAAGCTGCGATTTTCGCTTAACTTACTCAACGGCACAGGCAAGTAGCTCGCCGTAGCCCCGACGATCAGCAGCAAAACTACCAAGCTCGAGAGCATCTCCAGAATTCAGGCAGCTTGTGGGAAAAGACACCCCCAAAATGGGCAACCTGTGGCCCCGATCGTAAACTTATAAAGCGCGCGTTATCACAAAAATTGCGGTCTGCTCGGAAATGTCGTTAAGTCTTGGGCTTTGTCGGCCGATTCGTCACCTTCACCGGAAATGGGCAGGGAGAAGCTGGCGGAGATCGCTGTGAAAAGAAAGAAAATGCAGGGTTTTAGATTCACGGAAGATTTGAATTTTAGAGGATTCTCTCTTTCTCTTGCTCTCTCACTTTCTCTCTCTTTCGCTTTCTCTCTCTCTCTCCCCCACTGATAGGAGAATAGGTTGTAAAATCAGGTCCGGATGGATCGCCTCAGTTTTCAGCGACAAAAGTGAAAAGTAACGAGGAACAGTGTGTTGATTGCAACGGCCCCCAGCAGTTTTTGGTCTCTCTCTATGTCTCTCCTTATTTCTCTCTCTCTCCCTCTCTCTGTCTCTCTCTCAAATTCGCGAGCCCCGAATTCCCCTCGCAATTTGATCGCACAAAAAGTGGCTGTGGTGGGGGAACCGCAAAGATCTCTGCGGATCTGGGGATAGATCGGCCGAAATGTCTCCGCATTCTGCCTGATTATCCCCGATTTTCACCGAGAGTTACTTTTTTTTACCTTCCCATTTCTACACAATTTCAGGCAATTCCAATTTAGAAAGCGTGTTTTTTTTTCGAGCGTTTATCTATGATCGCTTGAATTTCTACATTTTCCATTTCTTTTTTTGCTATTATTTGAACGAAAACTAAAAACTTTTGCGCCAAATCCCGCTATCCAAAATCTCGACCGGTCAAAACCCGAACATCCAAAATCCCGACAAGCAGAATAGCTGTTTAGAAGGAATCGGCATTCGAAAACACGGCACGAAGATGTCGAGATTCAGGTTGTCGGGATTCTTTTGGTAATTGTAGATTAGGTTTGATCGAGACAAGATCTCTGCCACCAAAAAATTCCTAGCGACAAACCGAACCGACTTGACGGGTTGTTTTGGTGATTGATAAGTGCCGAATGGTTCGCGGAAATCTCCCAGACCCCGTTTCGCGCGAGGATCGGGAAGGGATTTGGGAATCCTTGGATCCTGGGGTACACCCCGCGATTTTTCTGGGCTTACTTGTCAGCTAGAATTTGCTGTGCCCCTCTCCCTTTAGCCGGAAGGACCAAAAATTTTTTTGGAATTACCAACATTAAATTAGTGTATAGCTGCTTACCAGCCCTTGCTTGTTATAGGCGTAACTATTTTTTATTTTACATTATTTTGCAGAAAAAAATTTGGTATACTTTTCATGCGCTTTCGGCTGGCGTTGTTAAAAAATGCAAAAATAAGAAAAATATTGAAAATCATAGTTTCAACCCCTTTTTCGGAATTATTTTTGGTTTTACTGTAAATTTTTTTCTCCCACACAACTTCGTAAATGTCTCGATGTTTGATCGAATGGCTGAAAAAACAGGGGCAAACGTGCAGGGACCTTTTAGGAAAATCGAGGGAGACTCTGAAATTTTTCTTATTCTTTTAGAGACAAACTTTAAAGCTCTATAAATCATAAAAATAATTGGGATCCTTCAGGAAAAATCAATGCGGCTCTGAACTCATTCACATTCTTTTAAATGCAAATTTTAAAGCCCTGTAGATCGCAAAAATAAGGACAATAAGTCGGTAATAAAAAAATCGCAATTTTTTTTCAATTTGGTGATTTTTGAAAATTTGAAAGACCTAAAACCGCAGTCGGTCTGTCCAAAATTAGCCCCCACAAAAATCGTGTAGGCGTTTTTGATGGGGTCCAAGGTCAATCGGGGCAGCAGCGATTGCTAGAGATCGTGCAGAGGAGTCTCGCGTTGTCTTGCCCCGATTAGAGGACCGCCGTGTGGATAGGAATTGGACGGAACGGATTTCGTCGAACCACCCAGCCGAAACCGAGATCCGTTACTCATCCTCCCCGGGTTCATGATCCGCATTTTTGCGGGGGAGTCGAACTCCCTGCGCCGCGCGGATTCGCCGAACCATTATCGAATTTACGCATTTGCCTGGCAGGTCCGGCCGACCTTATACTCCGTAAAAATGACTTAAGATTGGCTTCTTGGAAACGGGAGGTTAAATAGGATTATTTTTGCGGATTTTAACCATCGCTGGAATTTTTGTCGAGTTGAAAAGTACTGAAAGTGTCCTGCTCCCACTAGACTTCACAGAAAAAATCACCTGGATCCCTCAAGATTCTCGGCTAGCTACATTTATCGCGCACCTAAAACGATTTTTCCAAACGTTCTCTGCTGGCCTGCCTTCTTTCTATTTCTAGATCTTCAAGGTCCCGGAAAAAATTCCCAAACCCTGTCTGCTAGCTTGCCTTCTTTCTATTCCTAGATCTTCCAGCTCCTGCAAAAAATTTCCGCAAATGGTCTCTGCTAGCCCATTGTTTCCATTTTCCAGATTTCCTAGCACCCAGAAAAATTTCCGCAAATGGTCTCTGCTAGCACACACTGGCTCCTCTATTTCCGGATTTTCTGGCAGCTAGAAACTAGAAAGAATTCCCCAAATGTTCTCGGCTAGCTTGCCATAAATTACAGCCATAATCCCGCCAGCCAAAATCCTGACATCGAAAACTTCATGTCGGGATTATGGCTGTCGGCATTTTGGCTGTTGGGATCCAAGGTGTCGGGATTTGGCTTGTCTAGATTTCGGCCTGTCGGGATGTTCGCTGTCGGGATTATGACTGTCGGGATTCGAGCTGTCGGGATTTTCTTTGTCGGGATTATGATTGTCGGGATTAGGGCTGTCGGTGTTCTGGTTGTCGGGATTAGGGCTGTCGGTGTTCTGGTTGTCGGGATTAGGGCTGTCGGTGTTCTGGTTGTCGGGATTAGGGCTGTCGGTGTTCTGGTTGTCGGGATTAGGGCTGTCGGTGTTCTGGTTGTCGGGATTAGGGCTGTCAGGGTTTGTTATGTCGGAATTTTTACGCTTCTCTTCGTATTCTCTCCTCCGCATCAAAATCCATTTTTGATAAATTAGCTGATTCGCGAATTTTCAATTTAATTTTTTTTTCCTTTTTAGTTTAATTACCATTCTAAAAATTGCATAATTAGTATAATTTTTTGCAGGTATAAAAAGGAAAGATGGGCCGAATGAGAAAAATCTGGCGCATCGAGCACAAGCACAAGGTGTTCGACTATTGGGCACCGAAATATTTGTTGAAATGTTGTTGCTGCTACAGTATGCATATTAAAGTAGGATAAATTACATAGAAAAAATTTTAAAATTAAAAGGTTATTTAAAAACTAAAAATTCCAAATTTTTGACCAAAAAGGCTGATTTTACCAAATTAGCCAATTATTTTTATAGGATAGTTTTCCACTTTAAATATACTTAAATGCCTCTTTTTCAGCACGCCAGCTGCCTCGTGCTCGTCGTGCAGATTTTGCTCATCTTTTTCCATATAGGACTGGTGCTCACGCGATCGCTCGATGTGTGGAAGGTAAAAAATTTTGATTTTTTGTAGAATTAAACTAAGTTTTAAAATAAATCAAAATACGTGTTTAGTACATTTTCGTACCGATGGAGGTGCTGAGCGCTGTTGTTTTGCTTTGTGGCCTGATTTTGGAGCAGAAAAACGCGCTGATGCCATTTTTATTCTTGGTGGTAGGTTAATTTTGAAAGATTCTGTCTCGCGCTCTTGCTCTCTCTCACTCTCGCTGTCGCTTTGTCTCTCGCTCTCTCTCTCTCTCTCTCTCGCTCTCTCTCTCTGTATGTCTCTCTTTCGCTATCTCTCGATCGCTGTCTGGCATCACGCTCCTCTCTATCTGTCATTGCTTGTCTCTTTCTCTCCGTTTCTCACTCTCTCGCTCTCTGTTTCTCTCTGCCCCCTTCTCCCTCTCTCTCTCTCTCTCTCTCTCTCTCTCTCTCTCTTTCTCTCTCTCTCTCTCTCTCTCTCGCTATCTACTCTCTTTCTCCCTAAAACCCCAATTTAGGGCATGAAAATCTTCATGATCGGCATGAACACATACGAGCATATCGAGGCCATGTTCGACTGGAGTTCTGACAAAATGAGGGAGTGGCGACAGGAGCTCGAAGATGATCACAACCCTTACTATAATAATAGAAGTGAGATTTTTGTAAGATCCTAGGATTATTTAAAGAGACCGCCAAGGCAGGAACCTAGCTTTTTAAAGCTGCGCCGGGCAATTCGGTAAAAAATTCCAATAAGGTTTACGATCCTTTAAAAGTCCTGTTTTTATTACTGATATATCTAGTTTTCTTTATTTAATCATATAATACACTCTGTCAAAAAACTATAGAATCAGGCGTTTTTCATTACTAACTTTTTTGTGCATGAACCATTTGACTTGAAATTTTTATATTTGGCATTATTAGATACTAGCAAGATATACACAAACCCAGAATGCGACGCGGCGGCCACAAACTACATTTCTGAACTTTCGTTAGTTTTTCCTTGTAAAAAAACTATAGAATCATTGTCTTATTTTGAAGTTTTGTTCCACTTTTTGTGCGTTTCTGCTTTCGTTTCTTATTGTTTTAGCTTCTCCGACTAAACTTTGCTATTTTTAGAAATGCCGCGTGGCAAGAAACTATCCGATGTTGAACAAGGCAAGATTGATCTACTTATTCAACAAGGGAAAAGTCAACGTCAAATCGCCGAGGAAATTCACCGCTCACAGAAGGCAGTATTCACGTATATTTCCAAGCAAGACACGTACAATGAAAAACACGCCGGCGGAGCGCCAAAGAAATTGACCGAACGAGACGAACGAGCCATAGGAAGAGCTCTTTCCAATAGCACCAAATCTTTGGCTCAGATAAAAGCCGACCTGCAGCTAAACGTTACCCGCCAAACGATTTACAATGCTGTACTTGGCTCGCCAATCATCAAAAGAGAACAGATGAAGAGGGTCCCAAAAATTTCTCTAGCCCATGAAGCGGCCAGGATGCAATTTGCTCAGAATCATATGACCACTGATTGGTCCCT